GTTTCTTCGAGACTTGTTATGATGGATTTTGTGCGACAGCAGTGTTGGTGTGTAGTTGCAGGAGGTCTGTACAGTTTTTTCTACGTCTTCGAAGATCTCTCGCGCCTCCTCCCAGCTGCAGCGCTCCTCCACACACTCCCTCTCCATGTTGCCTGGTTTAAACTCCTCAAAATGCTGTTGGCTCGTCTCTGCCGCTTCAGCACCTGATTGGCCTCCTCGCCGTCCAAGAAGACTGGTGAGAGAACAGAAATGTGGATGGAAACTCATCGCTTCCCACAAAAACAAAGGCTTCAACCATAATTAAGTATAATGAAAATGTTCAAACACTATTTATTTAGTTTCAGGTTTAGCTGTACTCGGCACCTTAAGGAAAGAAACTGTCTGTTTGAAAGTTAGCCACGTTAGCATCATGACTCTTGGTCATACCGGAGCATCTAATAGCTATGCTTCGTCACGTCTTTAGGCGTCTGGCAGCGAAACACCTGGCACCCTTTAGCGGAATTGTTGAAAGTACTACTAGGGGTGGGGATGGTGCAGTGGATTATACACATGCCTTTGGTGCTTGGAGACCTGGGTTTGATTGCCTCTGCACACATTCACCAATGTGTCCCTGAGCATGGGTTGTGACAGTGACGAGTGCAGCGTTTCACCCATAGTTAAACATTTTTCAACTCTCTGCGACTGGAGAAAAACGCTCAGCGCCACTTCACTCTGCTGCTGTTTTTACCAGATTGTAAACACGCGGCGCTCCCATTGCAGCGACTTACTGGCCCCATTAAAAATTCCTTTGGTGGACACAGGCCCTAAATCTAACCGAAATGTTTCACAACGTTAACCTCTAGGTTTATTTGAAAGTCTAACCAGACGTTACATATTTGTTCTTGCTATCTTGACCGTGGAGCCCTAAAGGTTACCCGGGGCGTTAAAAAGCGTCCATACGTGACGCCCTGTGATGAGAACGGGTTGGTCATTCTGTTCATCACTATCGACTCTGCAAAGTCACATTTTGACTGAAAAGCGTTTTCAGTTTAAATGAGATTCTGGTTTTAAAACAGAAGACGACCAATCACGGTTCGTTTGTCCAGTAAGACGGGTTCCTGTTGGTGTCTCAGTGAAGGAAAGAGCTGTCAGTCATCAAGAAATCAAAAATCTGTTGACATTACGAACACACAAAATGGAACGGGGTCATGTGTCACCTGTCAGCCACCAATCAACACACAACACCCCCCCGCCAACCACCACCCAAAACACACACACACGCTCAACATGGTGGTGCTTCTTTTCCACCTTGCTTTTACTCCATAGTCTTCCTCACTATTCTCCTCTTTAGCATCCACAAAAGTTTACATGTTAACGAACGTACCTACGTGAGCCGTGGCCAGGTGGAGCAGCAGGAGGCCGAGGGACAGGCGGTGAACCCAAAACATGGCCCCGGGTGGATGGCGAGCTCGGCTGGAAAAACCTCAGTGTGCTGAGTGGAAGTAATGGAGTCTGAATGTGGAGAGAGGGAGAGAGGAGGGGTGGTAGAGAGGGCAGTGACCTGTAGAGAGAGAGAGAGAGAGAGAGAGAGGGAGACGGGGGAGGGAGGGGTCGACATGTTGAAACTGAACAGATCGGACTGGGCGGGGCTTAGCGTCCAGACTTCCTGCCGAGACACTGGAGCTCAAAAAAATTCTGCTTCACTGATAAAAAGACTGTGTCCATGACAACTTCACCTGACAAGCCAACTACAAGTCCCAGAGTGCATTGCTGGAAGAAACATCCAATCAGAAAGCTTTTACTTTTTCTTTTAAATCTCACCTGTGAACTTTTTTTTGAGTTTCAAACCATCGGCAGTCGTTCAGAAGTTCACACATTCGAGCTTCAGTATCTCGGACGTTAGCGGTGGAAAGTAACTAGTACATTTACTCAAATACTGTACTTAAATACAAATTTGAGGCACTTTACTTTGCAGTATTTCCAATTTATGCCACTTTCTACTTCTCCTCCGACCATCATCTCAGAGGGAAACTTTGTCTTTTCAGAGGCGCGACTCGTCTGTAGCTGAATTCAGCTGGTGTCATTTACAATAGGGACGCAGGGGACATGTCCCCAGCACTTTTTTAAAGCATAATTTGCTAAAACAAAAACAAGCTGCTGATTATAAAATGACCCAAAAATGTGCAGCACCGATCAGTTTCTTTTTGGCCAAGTTTTCCGTTCTCTCCCTGTGAACATGAACACAAGAGGAGTGAAGACTGAATCAGGCCTCAGCAGGGACGATGTTACAGGAGAAAAGTTGATCTACAGGAGAAACAGATCTGAGAGCAGCACTGACTTTTAACATGTCACCTGCCAGCTGTTTCCTTTCACATAAATAAAAACATTTCCACCATAAATTGGTGCAGAAACTTTCACCAGAATGCAGGAAATGAAGTGTTTAAAGATCAAAGTTTCCTGGGGGAGGCCCCTAGGCCCCCCGCTCATATGTCTCAGCGTTGAGGACATCTTTAAAACACTGTTTTAGGATCTTTCTTGTCTCGTGGACCTAATATCGCGTATCGTGATGTCTCGCGAGCTAAGCGCCTCTTCACACCCGTAATCTGAGCCCCTGCGTGACTTTGTGCTGAAAGGTCCCCCAGCTTTCAGTGACGCCCTTGGCTGCATTTTTCTTTTTCCTTTGCTTTGTCTGCTCAATAAGAAGGAATTACAGGTTTTCCATCACAAACCAAAACTGTTTCTGTTCCACATCCACAGTAGAGTATGGAATCAAGCATTAATGTGCATTTTCTGGAAATCTGCGTTTGATTGAAAACTTAACTGCAGAGAGAAAAATAGCAGAAAAGACATTCGATGTTTAAAAATACAAAATAAATTTGATTGACTAGAGCTGTGAGTTTGTTTAGAAAAAGATGTTGCATAAACGCTGGGAGGATTTCACATAGGTGCCGTGTACGTGCTGGTACGAGGGAGGAATTCAACTGCTGAAATGTTGGCTGATTGATTTTGGCAGCGACTCAGTTCAGAGGAGGGAGGAGGAGGAGGGAGGAGGAGGAGGGAGGAGGGAGGAGGAGGAGGCGTTTACGGTAAACGAGAGTCGACCGGGTCTGTTAAACTGTTGTACTGCTAAACATGTTCAACACCACTCAGCTCAGGAGGTCAAATGATCAATATTTGCTCTGCAGAGTGAAACATTGATCAGCTGTTCACCTTCAAAAGATATTTTACTAAGATACAACAACAATTTAGAAATGCTCTGTTAGGTCAGTTAAGTAAAAGTCCTGCCTTCAGAATGGCTATAAGTCAAAAGTATTATCAGTATTACCTGCTATGTAAGAAGCATTTTAATATTATTTTACTGATTTTATATACTGTTCATTTAATTTACTGTGTAACAAATAGCCTACTTCGGATCCGTCCCTCAGGTCCTGAGTGCTGCGTAGTTTTCCCACCAGAGGGCGACTGCAGCTCCTCTGTTAACAACACTGCAGCACCACAGAACAAACATCAGCTGAGCAGCTCCTGGTAGCGCTCACACTCAGTGTTCACAGTGAGTTGGTCTTTTGTCACGTCTATTAAATGACTTCAATAATAATAAAAGTAGCCTTCGTCACTTTTCCTCTTCGGAGACCAGACTTGCTAACCCTCCTGTTTTTCACTGCCAGGCTCAGCAGCGTGTTTAATGCTCGTTGCCGTGTTAATCAGTGGAGGAGGCTAACATTAATGAGCGATGTCTCTAGTTACAGTCGGTGTCTCAGAAACGATTAAACCAGAGGGGACCTGTGAATAAACGTGAGCTGAACTAAGTATCTAAGTGTCTATCTATCTATCGCACTATCCTCAACCACAAGATGAAACTAAATATTACAACATTAATGACTTTGCGTATTTACCAGCTAATTTCCTGCATCAGGAACACATTTCCTGGAGTTATGGAGGAAATGTCTTTATTTATATGAAGGAAAACTAAATTAAGGTGACAGATAACAACTCAAAATATAATGGAATATAATTCAGTAATCAGATTTTGGACAATGCAAATTTGTTTCTTCTATATTTCAGTTGCACTGCATGTTTTCTTATTGTGCATCGTTTCATTTGCTATTTAACATTTCTTGTTGCTGTTTATCAGAATATTTTTAACTTCTTTTAAATTCTGACTTGTCCCCAGCGTCCTCAGTGTAAACGACTATCTGTCAATATTTTTAAATGTCCCGCCACATCCAGCCTGTGATTGGTCGGTTCACGACAAATGACATTGACGACCTCCATTCAGCACACGGCCGTCACTGTATCATAGAGCCTGAAGGTGGTTAGGAAATCTTTTCTGTAGCTTTGGGTAGAATTAACAGAGTGCAGGTCATAAACTAGATGTAGAAAGTAGTCATCGTGGCAGATAACATGTAAGATAATTACGACGACATGATTATATATATATATATATATATATAATGATTTGCATATGAAGGAGAGTCCTGTTTATCATTATTATGAAAGCAAAGACATGAGAGATGATTTATGGTATTATTTTTAGTAGTAGTACTATATTGGTATTCTTTATAGTTTCTGTTTTGCTGGCCCCCACAATACATACACTATTTAATTATTTATTAATTAATTATTTATTTATAATAAATCAGATATTTTAAGAATGTTCTCTGTATTTTTATACATTTGACTCTTATTTATCAAAACTTTAATATATTTTGTTGTACTTTTGTTCAAAGTACTATTTCTAACTGCATTACGTCATGACATCTTGGTGAGTTCTCAACATAACAAATGTTAGGGATAATCTTTATGTTATCCGTTTCTCAAAATAAAGGGGAAAAAGAATATCGGCCCATAAATCCGCTATCGGATTTTAAAATCTTCAAATATCAAAATCTGTATTGGACTCATATCGGTCGGACTCTAAATAAAACATGACAAAACGGTGTTACCCCACAAAGGAAACTGGAAACTTAAAGCACTTTGACATCACAATCATAATATTGTTTCATGACGACTTGAAGCAGAAAATCTTTCCATCATCTTTTATTAAACTACTTTCTGTTCCAACGTGTCGAAAGCCGTCACTGCAGCTTTCTTCTCATTGGCTGTCTTCAGGGTGGGCGGGTTTTTCATAGTGGTCTCTACCCAGTCCACAAAGTTGGCCATCTTGGTGTACACCCCATAATACCCCGGGTACGAACAGCCCCGCCCCCAGCCGACCACGCCCGTCAGGAAGTGGGTGGAGCCGTAAAGCGTGACCAGTGGGCTCCCGTCGTCCCCGCGGCAGCTCTCCCGCTGACCCTCCAGGTATCCGGCACACAGCATGTTGTCGGTGAAGTTGAACCGGGCTCTCTGGGAGCACTGGGAGTTCTGGATGATGGGGACGGGAAACTTGCGAATGACGGGGGAGACTGGGACAACGGGCGGGCCGCTGGGTTTCACAGCGTTGCCCCCGGCGGTCCTCTTGCCCCAGCCGGACACGGTGTGGTAGCGGACCGGCAGGAGCTCCCGCTCGGCAAAGTCTTTAATGGGCAGGCAGATGGGGATGGCGTGGCGATTCAAGGTGACGGGGCGACTCAGCTGCAGCAAGGCAACATCGCTGTCACCCGTCGCTGGGACATAGGCTTCATGGGCGACCGCCAGGGAAACGGGAATCCTCTGCTCCGTGCCCTCTTCAACGTCCAAGTGGTGTTCCCCTGGTGACGGAGGAAGAAACCGTTAAACGAGGCATTAGAAACGTGATTTTACTCGTTAGAAAGCACCGGCTGGTTACCTGCCACCACAGCGAGGTTCTGAGGGTTGATGCCATGGACACAGTGGGCAGCGGTGACGACCCAGTCCGCATTGATCAGAACACCTCCGCAGTGACTGCTTCCGTTTAACTGAACCAGAACCTGATCAACAGATAGATCAATCATTTTAAATGTGTTAAATATTTGGCATTAAGCTGATGGAATATTGGGCGGCCTGTTGGGTCCAAACTTAAGAGCAAGAGGATGAAACTGGATGATTTATGTGACCCCTTGAGTTTTCTTTGAGCGACCAACCCTTTCTCACTCCCAAGTCGTCACATTGGGAAGCGTGATCGAGACCCGCCAGTTTGTAACGCTCTGGGAAGCCCTTTAGCGTAATTTATGTAGGTCAACTTAAAGGAAAAGCCTAAACAACACGTTCTCACAAATGGACGCTAGAAGCATCATATCAACCCAGTTCATTGCAATGGGAGCGCCAACATGGTAAAAACGGCAGCAGCGTGACGAGGCGCTGAGCGTCTTTTCCACGCTGGACGCTGAGAGTTTTTTTCCAGTCGTCGGGAGTAGAAAAATGTTCGTCTTTGGGAAAAACACTGCGCTCGTAACTTTTTACCCAGCCGTCCAATCACAGAGCAGGAGGGGCGGGACAAACACCGCACCGAGCCACCTCAGCTCTGGAACGAAACAATGTGCCTCCTCACAGAGTTATTTCCTCGCCCTCTCATGGACCCACGTACGGCGAGTCCAGAGCACGTAGGCCTGCGTACTTTGTGGTCACGTTTTTACATTCAGTAACAGTAGGTAGCCTCCACGGATATAATGTATCATAGCAACCACAGCGTCTTGAAAAAAACGCTGCACCTCCAAAGGTTGCATTACTAACGTTACTTATCTTACATAAGTTAACGTAACCCTCAGTCTTTTCCTAACCTAACTTGTTGTGTGTATTTGTTGCGTACACTGAACTCACTTTGGTCAACTAGGGTTGATTTTAAATGTGCTATATAAACACATTTGAACTTGAACTAACAAGTAGTTTTGGTGCCTAAAAGCAACCAAATTGCGATGTTTCACATTAGTCTTATTTTGAAAGTCTAACTGGACGTTGCATATTTATCGTTGCTAACTTGATCGCCCAACACGTAGAAAAACGGGCTCCCCAGGGTGTTAAACAGCGACGCCGAGGGGTCTTGACCAAGCGTCCATATGTGACGAGTTAGTGGGAATGTTGTTACACCAACAGGACAACATTTAACAAAATTTCGGATATATTTGCGTGAAATGTCTCGATCCCATTGCTGCTCCCCAGAGGATGAAACCTTTAGATTTTGATGTCCCCATGATGGTTCCTGCACCCTCAGGACAAACTTGGAGGTACAGCGGTGTTTACCTGCCAGGGACACTCTCCTCTGGGACAGTGGTTAGCTCCCACCAGCCTGATCTGACCCACAGCGCTCTGGTTCATACCGGTTTCCCGTGGAGGCAGCTGACCACACGGATACTCCACTGTAACACAAACACCACTGTAAACAACTAGTGATGTACTCGCTTTTAGCGTTGCGAATGTGTAGAGACAAGTGGCTGCGATGTTAGCATCACTGTTCAGACATTTATCCACCGGGGGGGAATTCAGATTTTGGTTGGTTACTTAATCGCTAATGTTAAGATCACAGCTTTAATTGATAAGTAATTTCACAGTGAATGAATTGATCACAATGTTATAGTTTAAATGCCAAAACAAGATCACTACCTGGTTTTATTGGAACTATTATGATAATAAACTGGATATCTTTGGGGTTTTTGGACTGTTGGTTAAATAAAACAATCTGTAGACACTAACTTGGACTTTTATTAACAATAATCAGATTAATCTAACAAATACTTGTTAGTTTCAGGCCTATTTACAGAAAAAGCCTCCTGTTGATGTGAAGTGACTTGAATAGGCAGGGTAATCACAGTACTCGCAAATGTCTTATCTCAATAAATGCATGTACATCAGTACTGTAAAGAAGTAGTATTCATGTCGTATTTGTACCTTGAGCGATACACTTTCGTCCGTCGACTCCCAGATTATATCCGTCAGCGCAGGAACATTTGAGACTCTCTCCCGAGCCGTCACAGAAATGCTCACATTGTCCGTTCTGGTAAAGACACTTCAGTAAGTCCTCCACCGCTGAGGAAAGTAAAGGTTACATTATTCAAATATAATGTACAATAAGTTATTAAATCATAAACATTCAGTGGAACAAGTCGTCAGGTCTTTTTCTTAATAAAAATACCACAGTGTAAAAGTCCTTAAATCAAAACATCTTACTTAAGTTGCTCAATAGCTTTTGAAATCTCCGCAGGGATCAATAAAGTCTCTTAAATAATAATAATGCAACAATTATTTAATCTTATTTACCTGTCTGACAGTATTGTCCCCAAAACCCGTCAGGACAGAAACACTGGTAGGAAGTCTCTAAGTAAACACATGTGCCGTTGTTCTGACATGGGTTGACCAGGCAGGGCTCACGACCTGATAAAAAATCAATCAAAACACTTTTTTAAAAGACAGAGAACCATTTTGCTGATATTATCATATGTTTAATCATTTTGTGTATGTCATTATAAGTGCAGAAGATACAAAATGTTTAATGCTTAAGATGTAATACAATCAAGTTACACTGTAAAACGTTTTGATGTTTGTCGTACAGACAACAGAGGACAGAGGATCGATAAGACCTGATCACAGGGTTCAAACTGTTAAATGATGAATCAATATCTGAATTATCAAAACAAATCAATATAGTGATCACAGGTAAAATGCCGTAAGAAAAGACACACAAAGTTATTTTGCCTCTTGCGTCATCCGTGTTCTTATATTTGACATCAAATTGAACATCAAATGTATTAAAACTGAACTTTAACCCATTTCATAAAGCGTGTGTTTATACCTGGACCACAACAAAGATGGCAGCTATCAATTCTGTTTCCTATTGTACAGTAGTTTTATTTAAATTTGAAAGAAATGGTGTCCTATTTCTGTGATTCCTCAGGGATCAGTGCAGAAATATAAGCGAAGTGCCAAATATGAAAATGTTCCTAAATAACTCCCAACAGTTTAGCAACGAGTAAATATTGGAAACGCTGCAGTGATTTAAACTAACATTGAAGTTTTTACAATTAACAATATGGACAAACTACCAAATATCACTCAGAAGTTGTGAAAATAGTGACAAAAAAGTAATACTGGACAGAATTAAAGGCGTCACTCACGATCATATGTCAGCCAGAACTGCCTCTGCAAAGGAGCAAACACATAAACATGAATAACTGTTTCATTCTACATTTCTGTCCCGTTTATTATTCACAATAATCAGGTCTCATTTAAAGGGAATCGTTTAACATTTTCATTTCTTTGTGTCCGTTTGTTATCCAAAAACTCACCTAAATCACCTGTCAGACGGCATAAAGTTCTGTTGAGCGTGGATGCTAACGTGCTAACAACACACATGAACACATGAACACGTTAAGCAAGGTGTGAAGTGAAGTGCATTACTGCACAGCCAGTGGTCCAAATTTAGACATCGATTATTGGTAGTTTGCTCTTTGGGCTTGAAATACAAACGTTGTGTTGTCTTCAAACTCACATTTCTACTCCAAACTGAGAAAGGGTATATGCAGTACTTTATTTTAACTTCTAAATATTTACTAATCCAAAATGGTTATTTGCTCTAAACTAAACTAAAAACTAATGTTAATGGATTTGCAATTTATGCTATGCTAACAGAGAAAGAGAGACGTTTTACTTTTAGTGATGCACTCCTGAACCTGAGATATCTGACAAAAATAAAGTCACTTTCAAGAACAAAAGATGCTTTTTAGCAGAACTCATGTTGTCTATAGTTTATCTATATATATAATCTACAGTTTAGAGACGTCAGCGATGGGAAAACACCCAAAAAATAGTTTTCCAGTGTTTAACAGTGGTTCAAATTCAAACTGTGGCTGACCGTCTTGCCGTCGTCTTCAAAAACTTCTCGAGCCTCCTCGTAGTCGCACGTCTCCTCAATGCATTCCCTCTCCAGGTTTCCTTGTTGCATCTCCTCCAGGAAGCCGCTGTTCGCTCGCCGCCATCTCTGCAGGAGTCTGTTGGCTTCATGCTTCTCTACGAACACTGAAACAATTGATAAAATACTGAGATCTGTTCCAGTTTGTCAGGTTTGTGCAATAATCCACACATGAGGGTGAAAAAACTTCAGATTAGAAACTTTAGATTCTACTTTGTCCTGGGAGAAGCTGCAGCACAAAGTCAGGATAAGCTCTTTAAATACTTATTTTGTTGGTTATTTCTTTATTTAACTGTGATGTTTGACAAGCTAACAAGCTAACATGAGTTATTTTTACCAAATTAAACAGACCTGCAGCAGCAGCGATGCCTGAAAGCAGAATCCAGACGGTGCAGCAGCTCCTCAGCAACATGATGTGTTCAGGGTGTCAGAAAAACAACGACAAAGAAGGACTTTTAGGACAGGAGGGACATTTCTAGTCCACGCCCACCACGGCGTCCGACCCCCACTGAAACACTCTTAATCAGGTCAGTAAACAAACCTGAAGAGGTCGACTGTTCCACTCATACTTTCTGTTTCCTTCACATCTCCACTCTAGTTTAACTACTTTATACACGGTCAGATAGTTTAGACCAGCGGTTCCCAACCCAGGGGTCGGCCCCTTCAAAGGGTCACCAGATAAGTCTGAGGGGTCGTGAGATGATTAGTTCTGATCATAATATCCCAAGTCAAAAGGGCTGGGAACCACTGGTTTAATCAAAGTGGTGGTTTTTATGTTGTACTCTTGGAAGTGTTAAGTTGCATAAAGTGGAAATACCTCAGTTGGACTTCAATCAAATACAGTCCTGGAGTAAATGTACTGTGAAACATTCCAGCGCTGAACAGTAGACGTTACTCTCTGTGGACTGTTTGAAGATATTGTGTACATGAGTGATGAAATCATGCACACACACACACACACACACCAGCATTTACGTAGTTGCAAAATGAGCAAATAGTCTTGAAACACACAGGGAGCCGTACCATTTCTATATTCACCAGTGAAATAAATGATCTTCACTGATTATGGACATAGAAATAAATCTGCTTTATTCCTGGTTTAGTTCTATGGTTCATGAAACGCTTAAATTATTAATTGATCATCGGAACAAAGTAATAAATAACTGGACCTGACAGACAGCATCAAGTTTCACCTGTTTTATTCATAAAAAAATTTACAACGCACACATTAAGAACCAAAATCCAAATTACAGTTTGACTGACGTGCAGTTTAGATACTTTTCCATTTGAAGACACCTCAACGTGTCTCCAATATTTAAGCAGATGTTCACTATTACATTATGCCACATGCCATAAGACAATAACAGTAATCACTAGTTTTGAATCTCCAGGTTAGGAAACTAATTTATATATCCTACTAAGGACAATCAAAGCCTCATGCCAAAGTCTCACTTTCATGGTAAGTAAATCTAAATTTTATGGTCAACGCAAAAGACTTATTAACCCTCACACAACAGACACTGGAAATCTTTCCCATCACCCATAATGCAACACTAACACAAGCTCCAAGCTCCAGGGTCTGTTTGACTAACTGTTCACAGTCTAATGTCCTTACTAGTGTGTTAAAGCAGTATATGTATACATCCCATAAATATATTTATGGTTGTGTCCAAATGTACTTTATCCTCTAATGGGCCTACATCAGTTAAATCGACAGTCTTCCTCTTCCATTGTGGCCGCTGTTTCACTACAGTAGATTAAAACATAAAAACCACAGTGCTGTGGATGTGTGCTGATATGCCCTGGGCGTGAACTCTCAGGTCGTCAGGTTGTGTAACGAAGACTGAGTGTTGTTCGTCGGCTGATTTGGCGTCGCTGTTCCGTTGTGGATCCACTCCAGGTAGTTGGACACTCGGGTGTAGATGCCGTAGTTGCCCGGTTGGGCGCAGCCCTTCCCCCAGCTGACGATGCCCAGCAGGAACACCGTCTTCTTGTACTCTGTCACCAGGGGCCCGCCGCTGTCGCCTTTACACGAGTCCTGCTGGCCCTCGATGTATCCGGCGCAGAACATGTTCTTAGTGAGCACCACGCCGCTCTCCTCCACACACTGCTGCGTCCGGATCCGTGGTACCTTCAAACCGCCGCAGGAGCTGTGAGGTGGGTCCGTTCTCCCCCCGCCTCCCCCAGCCGCTCACCGTGTGCATGCTCACAGCCCAGAGCTCGCGCTCTGCCAGCGATCGCGTCGGCAGGCAGGCTGGGACGGCGTACGGCGTGTAGACGATGGGCGACGCCAGGCGCAGGAGGGCGATGTCGTTGTCGGCAGTGCTTGTCACGTAGTTCTGGTGCATGATGATCTCAGAAACCTGGATGAGCTGCTCCGTGCCCTCGTTCAGCAATGTGTTGTGCTCGCCTGACAGACAAAGAGCAGGGAGACAAGAGCTCTAAGGTACCGAGGTGAGGAAGGTCAACCCAAACAGACACTAATTATCACATCGCTGTAAACACGACTGTGCAACTTGAAAATGTTCCAGCGAAACAAAGTAAATTTCTCTTTATTTAAAAACTTCTTGCTTGCACAGGGATCCGTACCTGCGACCACCTTCAGGAACTGAGCCTCAGTTTTCTCCAGGCAGTGAGATGCTGTGAGGATCCATGTGGGCTTATAAATCACTCCTCCACAGAAACCTTTGCCTTTATACACCAGCAAAACCTTTAATGTAAAACAACAACATTTGTTTTTACTTCTCCACTAAGACAATAATTTTTTAATCCAATTTAAGTTGGATCTTCAAATACTTATGACTAAGAACAAACAACAACAAATTTGTTATCTTCGGGAACTTTGAGATTTCAATCAGAATCTGGTTTTGGCAAAATGTTAGAGGTCAGAGTCCAGTAAAATAATTGAAGGACTCTCTGATGTGTCCTGATAACCAAATCTCAAGGTGTGAACTGTCGCTTTAACTTTAGCATACCTGCCAGGGGCATTGACCTTTGGGGCACTCTGTTCCCCCAACGATTCGAGCTCGAGAGTCGAGCTGCTTGGCTTTGTTTTCTCCCTGCAGGATGGGGACCATACCGCATGCTATCGACTCTGAAACCACACAAAAAGAAGATTTCTTTAATGTTAATTTTCTATAAACCAGCTCAATATGAAGCAGATTGTTTATGTAACTTTGACAGAACATAAAGCGTTTGTTACGTCCTTGGCCAGGTCCCTGGTGTTATCCCTTCCCTGTCTGTCTCTGTGTGGGTGTGTTTCGTCATGACTACCTCCTCTGGCTCCGTGGGCTCACGCACCTGTTGGCAATCAGCTCATCACTCCTCATCCGACCAGACACACCTGCCTTTCATCAGCTCACCTTCCTGCAGTATATCTTCTCCAGTTCTCCAGTCATTCGTCGCCAGATTGTTGTTCACCCATAGCGGTAGCTGTACTCCGGCCCAAGACTAAGCTTATTCTAGTACCTCGTATTTCTGCCTCTCCGTGTCTTTGAAGCTAACTTGTTTTTCTTGGCTCCAGGATCTCATCGCCAGCCACGCAACCGCCTCTCCTGTTCGCCTCCCGGTCTCCGCCTCGCCAACCCTCGGCATCCGCCGTTTTGCCTTGCCACTGCCACTTTCCCCAACTCTTGTGTGAAACTGACAATAAAGTCCACCTTGCCCGCAACACCTGTCCGTGTCCTGCGCTTGTGTTCCCAGTCCCTGGTCACCGCTTCGACAGCCCCTCCCTCCCTTCCTCCAAGGGAGCCCCACATTCCTCCGCCTGAGCGTTATGAAGGTGACTTAGGTTCATGTAGGGCATTCCTTATGCAGTGTTCTCTAGTTTTCGAGCAGCAGTCTTATACATACAGCTCTGATACATCTAAGATAGCTTATGTCATGGGGTTACTTAAAGGGAAGGCGCTAGACTGGGCATCAGCAGTTAGGGAGAGCCAGTCTCATGCTACTGTAAGTTATGACTACTTTGTTTCCGAGATGAGAAAGGTTTTTGATCACCCCGTCCAGGGAAGGGACGCTGCTAAACGCCTCCTTTCTCTCCGGCAGGGGTCTCGTAGTGTAGCAGAATATTCTGTTGAGTTCAGGACTGTAGCTGCAGAGTCAGGCTGGAATCAGGAGGCATTACAGGGGGTATTTTTAGGTGGTCTTAGTGAAAGGATGATTAGCGGCCCGAGATGATCCTGCTAGTCTAGATGAACTAGCCTCACTTGCCATTCGACTAGACAACCATCTGAGGGAGAGACAGAGGGAGAGAGCTAGTCGCCAGTCACCTGTGCCTGCACACTCCTCTCCCCGTTCACCTCCCCGAGGGTTCACTTCAGGCTCCCCGTCTGACACCCTTCTACTACCTCCGGGGTGGAGCCCATGCAGCTGGGCCGGGCCCACCTGTCTCCGGAGGAGCGTCTCAGGAGGCTCCAAGCTGGAGAGTGTCTTTACTGCGGCCAACCCGGCCACTTTCGCACAGCCTGTACTCGTCGGCCAAAAGAGCAGGCTCGCCAGTAGTAGTGGGGGTCCTGGTGAGCCGAGCACCATTTTTTGAACCCCCAACCCCGTATGGAGCTAAGGGCCACGCTGTGCTGGGGTGAGCAGGCCCTGTCCCTAACTGCACTAGTCGACTCAGGGGCCGATGAGAACTTCCTGGATGCTAACCTGGCGGCTCAGGCCGGCGTTGCCTGTGAGCAGTTGGACACCCCTGTCAGAGCCAACGCCTTGGATGGGAAACTCTTTGCTCTGGTCACCCACCGCACCAAATCCCTGCATCTGATCCTCTCAGGTAATCATTGAGAGTACATCAAGTTCACCTCATTTCTTCTCCTCATGCTCCCATAGTCTTAGGTCATCCATGGCTAAAGACCCACAATCCCCATTTTGACTGGTCAGATGGTAAAATCGTCAGTTGGAGCCCTTTTTGCTTAGCCACCTGTTTACGATCGGCCCTGGCTCCAGTAGAAGACACCTCTTCCCGGCATATTGGCACACCCCCTGACCTGTCAACTGTTCCCCTCGACCACCACGACCTTAGTGAAGTGTTCAGTAAACAGCATGCTCTCTCTCTCCCCCCGCATCGGCCCTACGACTGTGCCATCAACCTCCTTCCCGGAGCCCCCCTACCGTCCAGCCGGTTGTTTAACCTGTCCCGTCCGGAGAGAGAGTCTATGGAGAAGTACATACACAATTCCCTAGGTGCAGGTATCATTAGGCCTTCTTCATCCCCAGTGGGAGCAGGGTTTTTCTTTGTCGACAAGAAGGACCGCACTCTCAGCTCTTGTATTGATTACAGAGGCCTTAACGCCATTACTATCAAGAAAAAGTACCCCCTACCCCTGATTGCCTCCGCCTTCGAACCGATCCAACAGGCCACCATCTTCTCCAAACTGGACCTGAGGAACGCGTATCATTTAGTCAGGATTCGGGAAGGGGACGAATGGAAGACTTCGTTTAACACACCCCTAGGTCACTTTGAGTATTTGGTCATGCCCTTTGGATTGACTAATGCCCCTGCAGTCTTCCAAGCCCTAGTGAATGATGTTCTGCGTGACCTCCTTAATCGTTCAGTG